TGCTGCAGGAGGCCCTGCCCCCCGGCCCAGGCCCCTTCTGGTCTGCGGGCGTCCCCGGGGAGACGGTGCGGTCACAGTCACCTCCCTCCCTCTGATTAGTCTCTCTTGTCTTGGATCACAAAGATTGGGTCCCACTCACGTGCTGGGAAGCAAGCGAGCAGACAAAGTTCTCCCCCAAGCTGCGGGCTGGCGGGGCAGGCGGGCGCGTCGCGCTGGCCGGCGGGGGGAGAGGCGCTGTGGCCGCAAGCACAGTCCTGAGGACCGCGGCGGGGACTGGGGGGGTGGCCTGTGCGTTCACACCGTGTGCTCGCGGGCGGCCTCCTTAGTAAGGGGACCTTCCGAGGGACCTGCAGGGCCTATGCGATGGCCACCAAGCCCTCGGGGGGCCGCGCTCCCAGCTCAGTGTCCCCAGAGGTGTGCCAGGCATGCAGGCTGTGCTCCCACTCCGAGGGAGGAAGGGGAACGCGAGGGGGACAGCTGACCCTCTCGGGGGTGTGACCTTCACGGAGGGGTGACCTTCACGGGGGGCATGACCTTCACAGGGGGCGGGACTGCAGGTCGATGGGCGAGGCCAGGGGCCCTGGGGTTGTCTGCCGGAGTGATGGGCAGAGGCAGCGAGGTGGGGACAGGGGTCGGACAGGTCTCCAGAGAGCCCACCTGTGGACTCCTCCCTGGCGGGTGAGGGTGCGGGAGGGATGGGGCCACGCGTGACGCCCAGAGCTGTGGCCTGAGGCTGGGGAGGTGTGGGGAGCAGGAGGCCGCATGAGCTGACGGAGACACAGGCAGCGGGGTTTGTGGGGGGCCTGGAGGTGCGCGTCGGGGCGCCGTTGGGACCTGGTGCTTCCAGTCGCACGGCGAGGACATGACTGGGGGGCGGGGGACCCGGCCAGGCCTGGGGGCACCAGTGTTCGCAATGCGGGGAGGAACCAGCAGGGAGGCCGAGAAGGAAGAGCCGTGAGGGGAGGGGCCCGGTGGCCGAGCGAGGAGAGCTCGGGGTCGCCTCCCGGCTCCTACCGACGGAGCCCACGCCGCCCGCCCCGCCGCCAGGTATTTCGATGCCCTGCGGGACCTGCGACAAGCTCGTGGACCGGCCGGGGCCTTCCTGAGCTGGAACGACCTGCAGGCCACCGTGAGCTGGGTCAACGCCCGGGCCCAGGAGGAGACTGACCGTGAGTGGGGCCTGGGGGCCGGGGAAGGCCCACCGCGGGCGGCCCTGTCTCGAGGCCGTGGGCCTGAGCCCTCTGCCCACCCGCTGTCTTCCCCAGAGGTGCTTGCGGTCAGCCTCATCAACGAGGCTCTGAGCCAGGGCAGCCCCGAGAAGACCCTGTCCGCCCTGCTGCGTCCTGCGGCCGGCCTGGACGGTGTCCGCCTCCCTGTTGCCTCCCGGTACCATCTCCTCCTCATCGCGGCCAAAAGGCGGAAGGCCCAGGTGAGGCCAGGTGCGGTGTCGGCTGGCTGAGTCGGTCCCCGGCGCAGGACGGACGTCCCCGAGTGCAGGCCTGCACCCGGGAGAGCCCCAGCCTGGTGGACACCGTCCCTTCTAGGCACCGAGGCAGGCGGGGTTCTGATCTGGCCCCGGGAGGAGGTGGGCCAGGGCCGGGCCGTGGGCCAGAGGGGAGAGTGGAGGCCTCTGCTCGGGAGGAGCCAGGGCCCCAGGCTGGACTGTCCTGCTCTGACACCTGTGACCTCGTGACCTCCAGCAATTCCCTGCCGTCCCTGAGCTCCCCTTCCCTGAAAACTGCCTGCCCCGTCTGTCCTCCCGCCTCCTGGGATGGGGTAAAATCAAACGAACTGAAGGTTGTGCGGGGTTCACGCCCTGAGCGTGTGGCTGTGGCTGTGGCCGGGCTGAGCTGGAGTTGGGCCGGGCTGAAGGCAGGGTGGGCAGGAGCCTTCCCGCCTGGCCGCAGTCCAGCGAGCCCGCGTGAGGCCGTGCCCAGGCTGGCCGCAGGTGGGGAGTGGGGGCCGCCGTCCCCGTGGCTGCAGAGTCGGCCTGCAGCTGGGTGTTCCTGGTGGCTGGGCCTGGGGACCAGGGAGACCCACCCGGCTCTCCTCCCGTCTCCCACCTCCAGGGCACCGGGGACCCCGGGGCTGTGCTGTGGCTGGACGAGATCCGCCAGGAAGTGGCCCGCGCCAACCAGGACACGGACGTGGCTCAGAGAAGTAAAGGGCCGAGCGGGCAGCTAGGCGATCGGGCGCCCGTCAGCCTCCCCCGCTCTCCCCACGCCCTCTGTGGGGAGGAGGGCTGGGCGGGGCGCCGTGGGGACCATGGGCAGGGGTCCTCGGGGGCCGAGAGCCCTCCCCCACAGGGCGAGTGTGGGGAGTCGGGGCCGGGGGGTGTGGGCACAGAACACCCCGCTTGCTGCTGGTGGCTGGTTTGGGCTCCAGCGACCAGCTCTGGCTAGAGAACGCTCAGGCCTGCGGGTGGAGGGCGGGGTGGTTTTGAGGAAAAGTGGGCAGGATCAGTGCGGAGGCAGAAACGTGTGAGTTCTTGGTGTCCGGGGACCTGTGTCCATCCGTCTGTCTGTGAGGGACTGGAAGGGGGTGTGCTGCACCCAGCCCCACGTCCTGAGGCTTCATTCTCCTCCTGAGAAGCTGCCCTGCGTTCTGTGCCCAGACCCTGCCTTTGGGCTTCTCAGGGCTGACTGCCCTTTCCCGAGGCCACCCCCACGCTGCCTCCTCCAGGAAGCCTCCCTTGACTGCACCTTCTCCCCCAGGCACAGCCGTGGGCTGCTGCTTTTCCCGTGTGCGCATCCCTCCCGGGGTGTTCCCTGTCCCCTCTATCAGACGGGGTGTTTTCGTGTCCTCCGAATCCCGCCCCAGCGGACAGGACGGCCTGGGGGGGACTTGGAGGGGTTGACCGCTCGCTCTCGTGCCTCTGCCAGTGGCTCTTGGCGTGGCCGCCATCAATCAGGCCATCAAGGAGGGCAAGGCCGCCCAGACAGAGCGGGTGCTGAGGAACCCCGCCGTGGCCCTCCGAGGGGTGGTTCCCGCCTGTGCTGCCGGCTACCAGCGAGTTCTGGAAGGTGCCATGGCTGAGAAGCGGCACCCAGGTAACGCCCCGCCTGACCCGTGTCTGCCCGCCTGGCCTGACCCGCGTCTGCCCGCCCGGCCACCTCCGGCCCCACTGAGCCTCCTCCGCTCGCTGGCTCCTGTGCAGGGGACACAGCTTTCTGGGTTCAACATGACATGGAGGACGGCACCGCCTACTACCTCCACCTGCAGACCTTCCAGGGGACCTGGGAGAGGCCCCCGGGCGGCCGCCTCAACACCTCCCACCTGAGCCGTGAGGAGATCCAGGTGGGCGGGGCCCTGGCTGGGGGGCGTGGATGGGGCTCCCTGTGGGAGAGGCTCCCACCCACGGGGGCACCATGGGCTCTCTCCGCCGCCTCCACAGTCAGCCGTCACCACAGTCACCGCTGCCCACGACCGCCAGCAGCTCTGGGAGGCCAGCGTGGGCTTCGTGGTCCAGCTCCAGGCCCGGCTCCGTGGCGTCCTGGCTCGGCAGAGGTTCGCCGAGCGTTCCCGCTTCCTGAGGACCTGGCTCCCCGCCGTCGTCAGGATCCAGGTGGCGGGCTCTGGCCTTCTCCGTCTTCGGGGGGCTCCCTCCCGACGTCCTCTGTGCCGAGCGGGGTTGGGGTGATCTTCTGGCCTCCGAACGCAGTGCTTCAGAGCACGGATTCTGGGCCCAGGCTCCTGGGTTTGCGTCCCTGCTCTGTCACTTGGGACGAGTTGCTTACCCTCCCCAAGTCTTCTCATCGGGAACACGGGACTCGGGTTGCGGGGCCCACCCAGTAGGGCCGCTGTGAGGACCCAGCGAGGTCACGGCGGACGCGCCCCGAGCAGTGCCCGGCAGGCGGGCGAGAGCGTGGCAGTGCCAGGAGCCGCCGCCAGTGCCAGGAGCCGCCAGCGCCCAGAGCGTGAGAGCTGCCTGTCCGCCCCCCACAGGGGCGGGAGGTGACGCCGAGAATGATGGCAGGACCCCTTCCTCCTGGAACGGGGGCGTGGGGAGGCGGGGGGTTGACGGAGAAGGGGGCGCCCCGAGGGGGAGGCCAGCTGGCCTTTCTGTCCAGCCAGCCCTTTCCAGTTTCACTCTTGCACCCTGTGAGTGGCCCAGGGTGGCCTCTGAGACTGACCCCAAGGAGCTGGGACACGAGGCCAACGGGGAAGGTTGGGAGCCAGGAATGATGGGAGCCGGACGAGCAGGGACCTCTGGATAGATGCGACCGAGGGCCTCGTGCCGGTGTTGGCAGCGTGAAGGTGGTTTATTTAATAAGCATCCCTGAGTGCCCAGGACCCACGCTGGCCGGGGGAGGGAAACGCCCCCCACCCCCCCGCAGGAGCGGGAGCACAGCTGCCGTTAGATGCTGGGCTAGTGGAGACACGAAGCCGAGCACAGCGTCCCCCAGGGACACGGACGCACAGGCCGAGACTGGCACGCGGCCCTTGGCGATGGGTCACGGTCTGGGGCACGTGGGTGGAAACCGCGAGCTTAGGCTTTGGACTCGGGCTGCAGTCTGCCGCCTGGTCCTGCCTGGTCCTGCCTCCCCCGGGGCGGCCGCCGGGGGGCACCCACTTGAGCGGGGCAGAGCAAGAGCAGGGGAGACCCCTCTGCCTCCGGTGGCAGCACCTGGAGCAGGACGGGGAGGCGTGCTGAGGAAGGGCCTGGGAACGGCGCTAGGCTCCAGGAGAGACAGCAGGTGTCACGGGCCCGAGCTGTCTCTGTCACATCCTGTCCCCACGGAGGGACCCTGGAAGCCGAAGGTTAGGGAGAGCCTGGCCAGGACAGCTGGCATGAGACGGGAGGGCAACTGGCTGAGAGGGGACGCTCTTAACCCACCAAACTGTGATGTCGGTGGTCGAGTCGTGGTCAGTGCTGTCAGGCGGAGCAGCGGGGGGCGTTTCACACGGGCCTGGAAGACAGGAGGGACTTGGGTGGGTGGGGAGAAGGCGGGGCACGAGGCCTGGCCTTGGAGAAAATTCAGGGGCCGGAAGTCCTAAGGCTAGTTTGGAAGAAAGCTTGGTGGCCGGATCCTCACGGAGGCAGGGACGGGGAGGGCGGGCGGCTGTGCCATCACCCTGGAACCTCGGAGCTGGGGAGGGGGCCGGGTGGTCGGGCTGTGAAGGGAAAGTCCTTGCGGGCTTGGGTGACCTGCGCCCTCGGTGCCCGAGCATGCTTTCCAGACGGCATGTGGGCCGGCGTGTGGGTGCTCTCGAGATGGGTGGGTGAGTGTATCTTGGGGGCGTGGAGCCTGCTTTGGTGAACTCGGTGCGGGAGTGTATGCTTTGCTAATTTCTTTGAGGCTGGTATCTTACAGCTGAGTTTCTGTTGGTTAGCAGGGGGGCGGGGTTGAGCGTGTGGTGCATGTGTGCACATGCGTGTGTGTGCTGGGCCGAGGGCATGGTCAGCTTTGTGCAGATGGTTGGTCTCCCTGTGAGTCAGAAGTCCTTTGAGAACAGGGCCTGTTCCCCGCCCCGTCTGCTTGCCTGCTCCCTCCCCTCCCTGCGAGCCCAGGCAGAGGCTTCTCCCTGGCCGGCTTAGCCTGGCCCGGCCCGGCCCGGCCCGTTGGGCCAGCTGCAACCAGGGTCTCACCGCTGTTTCTCGACGGCAGGCTCGCTGGCGGGGTTACAGACAGCGGAAGATTTACCTGGACCGCTTGCAGTACTTGAAAGCAAACACAGATGCCGTCGTCAAGGTGGCTATCGGGGTTTGGGGGGCCCCTCTCTCTCTTGAAGGGGACTCTCAGAGCAGCCAGCTAGTCCCCTCCCAGCTCGTGACCGTCAGAGCCGGCCTAGCTGTCTGGGTCTGAGGGCCGTGCATCTCCCTCCGCAGATCCAGGCGTGGGCCCGGATGTGGGCAGCCCGGAGGCGGTACCGAAGGCGTCTGGGCTACTTCCAGCTGAACGTGAGCACTGTCCTCCCCGTCCACTGCCCCTTCCACCCCTGAGAGCCGGGCCAGGCCAGCCGGCGACCCTTCCCTTCTGCGTTCATGGCAGGCTGACTCCGCCGTGAAGATCCAGGCCTTCTTCCGAGCCTGGAAAGCGCGGGGTGACTACAGGATGCTAGGTGAGCACGGTCTCCCCCCGCCCCGTCCGCGTGAGTGTCCGCTGTGCGGCCAACGCTTTCAGCAGTCAGCATGGGACAGTCACACCGCCACAGCTCACCTGGCAGCCCTGGAGAAGGGGCCTGGCCGTGAGCCCTTTCTCTCATCGACGACTGCATGTGCCTCAGGACAGTGGGGACATGTGCCCTGCCTCTGGGGACCCACAGTTTGAGGGGAGACATAGGGGCCCCCAGAGCCAGGCAGGTGTCGCTGACCTTGCTGGGGCCGCACAGCAGGTGCAAGTTGGTTGTCTGTGGGGAGTGTCCAACCAGGGGTGACAGAAGCCCGGTCACAGGGTGGGTCCTCTGAGCAGGCTGGCGGCATGGCGGGCTTCAGCTGTCTTCCTGTGCCACCGCTAGGGCAGAGGAAGGGTGTCCCCTTCCCCAGGGTCCTCGCCGTCCCCCTTGTCCCCTCACGCCCCGCGGCCTCTGCACCTCCCGCCCTCCGTGACCGTGACCATGACCATGACCGGCCGCAGGAGGTCAGGCGGGGCTCGCGGGCCTATTCTGCAGTGCCCGGGGACTTGGGGGACTGCAGCTTCCTGCCCCCCAGTTCCCAGTAGTAGGGCGCGCACTGGAGGCCCTAAGGGGGTCCTTCTAGGCTGCTCTTGTCTGCTGTCTAAAGTCCAGAAGCCTGGCCTGGGGTTCCGCCTCCTTGTGGGTGGACGGATGGCTTGTCCCCAGGTCCCCACCCTCCGGCCCTTGGGTTCCCTTCTGGGCCTGAGGCTACAGTGCTGGGCTCCAGGGTGAACACGGGTTCGAGAGTCGTCTCCTTCGGCTGCCCGGCCCTCGCCCCACGCCGCCCTGCCCGCAGGGGGCCGCCGGCCCGCCGCAGCTGTCCGCAGCCCGGCCCGTCTCAGAGCCTCCTGGTCGCCTGTGTGCTCCGGGCACCCTTGGTCTTTTCCTTCCGTTCGCGTCTCGTTTTTCTGGAAGAACTTGCTTTTCCCAGCTCCGTCTCCTTCCATGAGCCGAGCCCAGGGCCCCTCAGCACTGGCGCTCAGTAGCCTGTGGCCCCAGGCAGGTGACTTTATCACCTTCGTTTTTTCATTTACTAAACGAGCCGCCTCCGGGCTGCTTGAGGGTTATGGGGTCCGGACCC